CACCAAAGCCCAACTTGGTGGACCAATGAGTTGTGCTGGAGTTGCTTACAGGAGTATGGGTCAGGGGTTACTTACAGGAGCAGAAATGACTCAAAGACAGCTGCAGGAGCCCAACAGTGGAGAGTGTCCTTTCTTTTCAAATGACTTGGTCTAAACCTCTTCAGGCAGCTTGGCTGATTTCTACACTTTCCAGGCAGCTGGTAACAAATGTCCACACCAGCCTAGTTCCCAGGACTTACACAGGGAAGCCAGAAGCCTGGCACCGGAGTGCTGACCCATGTCCCCAGGTTAGACAGATACCTGCAGTGCCAGTTCGTTTGACCTGTTTTTTGTTTTGTTTTTGTTTTTTTTTTAACATGTATTTATTTTTTGTGTATGAGTGTGTTGTCTGCATGTCTGTCTGTCCACCAGGAGCATGCTTGGTACCTGTGGGAGAAGAGAGCATCAGATCCCACAAACCGGAGCTACAAATTATTTGAGCTGTCATGTGGGTGCTGGGACCACACCTGAGAGCTCTGCAAAAGGAGCTAATGCTTCTAACTATGGAGCCATCTCTCCAGCCGCTGTAATGCCAGGTAGAAAGAGACATTACAGAGCTTGTGGCCAGGGTGTAGCTCAGTTGGTGGAGGACTTATCTAACATGTAAGAAGCCCTGGGTTTGATCTCCAACACCTCATAAACTGAGTACAGTGGGACATGCCTGGAATCCCAGCACTAGGGAGGTGGAGGCAGTTATGCCAGCCTTAGCTACAGTGAATTCTCCCTCCCTCTCCTCCTCTCCCTCCCTCCTTCCCTCTCCTTTCCTTCCTCCCTCCCTCCCTCTCCTTCCCTCCCTCTCTCTGTCTCCATCCTCCTCCCCCCCCCAACAGACACATAAATACATTAGGGCTGGGGAAATGGTTCAGTGGGTAAAAACACTTGTTACACAAGCATTAGGATCTCAGTGTGAATCACTAGAACCCACATCAAAAGCCAGATGTGGCTGTGCATGTGCCTGTAATCCCAGAGCAATAGGGAGTCGAGACAGGAGGATTGCTGGTGGCTGATGGCTCCTGTCTCAGGGAATCAATCAGAGTAGAACAGCCAACATCCCCTTGTGGTCTCTAAGCATGGGCACACACTGTGTGTCTATCACACACACACACACACACACACCAAAACACAGATGTTAAAGTGCTAAAATCACATTTAATTCAGGGGGCAGAGATGTGAGGACAGAACCAACTTAATTGGGAACACATGGACTGTGCTGTCAAGGAGCTGGGGTGGGGCCGGTGTCCACAGATGGGAAAATACTAAGAATGGGGGATTCTGGTTAAGCAGACCAATGGTGGTGCTTGTGCAGCAGGTCAGGGTGATGAGCTAGCAATCACTTTGGGGAGGCGGAGAGTGTAAAAATGGCACCAAGCAGAGGTCGAGGCAGTTGAGAGGACTCTCAGGGACCCCTTGGGCATTCCTCTGTCTTCAGGCAGGATGCCCCACATCTGCCTGTTCCTTTTTGCTTCTTTGCCCATTTCAGGCTCTCACCCAGGGCCTGCTACGTCCCATTCTCTGCCCCCTGTCAGGCTAGAGTGAGTACTGCCTGTGTCGGGGAGGAATAGGGGCCCACTTGACTCTTCTTTCTCTCAGCTCTTTGCATGGGGGTTCTGGGTGGGGGAGGGGGCTCGTAGACACAGCTTTTGGATTCACTTGATTCCCTGAAAGGACTGGCTGTGTGCCCTTCACTGCTTTGTGACGGTCTTCCCCAACACCTTACGTCTGTTGGTGACAATGTGCAGGAGCTTAAGCCCAGGATAAAAGGACAGCTGTTTTCCAGTGGAGGCATCTTTTTTCCCTCCACTATAGTTTATTCTGTGAGTGTGTGCTTATGTGTGTGCATGTTCCTGTGAAGGTCAGAGGGAAATCTTGGGTGTCTTTTATCAGGAGCCATCATGTCATTTAATTTTAAAAATCAAAAGATTTTAATACTTTTAAGTGTGTGTGTGTGCGCGCATGCGCGCGCACACACACACGTGTGCCCATAGAGGCCAGCAGTGTAGGTTCCCCTGGAGCTGGAGTCCTAGGTGGTTGTGAGCCACCTGATGTAGGTGCTGGGAATGAACTCAGGTCTTCTGGAAGAGCAGTGCAGTCCTTAATCACTGACCCGTCTCTTCAGCCCCCACTGTGATTTTTCAGGCAGGGTCTCTCACTGGGACCTAGGTATCACTGCTCAGGCTAGGCTGGCTGGCCAGTGCACCCCAGGGATCCTCCACTCTCGGCTTCTCTGGCACAAGGAGTACAAGCGTGTACCACCATGCCCGGCTTTTTATGTAGGTGTTCATGATGAAACTCAGGCCTTCATGCTTGCATGGCAAGTCCTTTACCAACTGAGCCATCTCCCCAGCCCCACATCTGTGTTTTTGCTTCTGTTCCCTTCCACAGGCCTGGGCAGGTCTAGTCCCCAGGCAGGCTGCCAATCCCCTCTCTTCTCTAGCTCACTATGCATCTAGTGGCAGTTGGATCAGTTCATGATATGGGCGGGCTTAATCTCCTTTCTTCTTCCTCAGAAACCCATCACCTGCTTTTGTTTCCCATCGAGGCTGGCTTGTCTCCCCTTCCTTGGGTTCTAACCTGTTGGGTATCCTGCAGGGAGGCAGGTGATCGGCAAGCCTTGGGAATATCTATATTCCAGCTCATGTCAAAAGTGGCACTGGACAGGTAGGTGGAATCCCAGCATTGGGAGCAGGAGGATCTCGAGGTCAAGGCTAGCCTGGGCTACCTAGTGAGACTATCTGATCTAACTACTTTTTTCTGTTGCTGTGGTAAATCGCTCTTACCAAGGACCTAAGGAGAAGGTTTATTTTGGCCCATCACCAAGGGAAAACACTCAAAACAGGAACTGAAGAAGGAACCGTGGAGGAATACGGCTTACTGGCTTGCTCAGCTACCTTTCCTACACAGTTCAGGCCCATCTGCCTAAGGATGGCACTACCCACAGTGGGCCCACCCCCCCCACATCAATTGGCAATCAAGAAAATGCAGAGACATGACCACAGGCCAATCTGATGGCAGCAAGTCCTCAACTGAGAGCTCTTTTCCCAAGTGCTTCAACTTGACAACCACCAAGATTCGCCATCACACTATCTCCAGAGTCAAACAAACAAAACCAAAAAAGTGGTATCAGCGCTCGTGCGTGTACGTACACACACACACACACACACACACTCCCCTGACAATGTGATCCTCCACTAGAGTTTGTGCCATGCTGTTTGAACTTCCACTCTCCAAAACTGTGAGCTAAAAACACGTTTTCTTTACTACATTCCCCTCCAGAGAGAGAGGGAGAGAGGGAGAGAGAGGAGAGGGAGAGAAAAAGGGAGGGAGAGGGAGGGAGAGAGAGAGCTCAAATTTCATTCCAATTCCAACCATCCCTTGTAGGGAATACTAATATCTTACCTGTTTTCTTTTGCTTTGAAGGACCTAGGGATGGAATTTGAGCTTTGTGCAAGCTGGGTAAGCACTTTATCACAACCTCACTAGTGGTTTCTAGGCAGCTGCTCTACCACTGAGCCACACACACACCCAGCTCCTCACTGGGGGATTCTAGGCAGGCCCAGCACTGATAAGCTACCTCCCAGCTTTTAATGTTTGTGGATCTGGGGTCTTGCTCAGGTTGGCCTTGAACTCCCATTTGCAGCTTCAAACTCATGATCCTCTAGAGTATCTAAGATTTCAGACTTGCAGAACCATGCCTGACTGCATGATTCTTACAATACATGGCCCCCATTTGAAGGTCTGTTTTCTCTTTGCTCCTTGACAACAGAACCCGAGAACATGAGGAATGAGTAAAGCATTGCACATGGCAGGAATATACATGCCCACCACCTGCTTTTGGTGTCCCAAAGGGCGAGATTGGCTCCGCTTACCTACCTTGGAGTTCTAGCCTGTCAGGTATCCTGCAAGGAAGAAGGTGATTTGCTAGATAATCGGTCCTTGTAAAAAATCAGGGTGTGTAAGAATGTTATCATGGAGATAACTCACATGCACACATGGGAACACACATCCTGTGAAAACGAGAGTCAAGGACCCTCCTTCCATGTGTGTAGGCAAAGAGGGGTGAGGTTTTGGTTCCTAAAGAACCCACAGGTAGAGAGGCAGCTAGGTCCAGGCTACATGGTCTCACAAGAAAAGCACAAGAGTTTCACAAAGTTCTTCTCAATGTAGGAGGGGAGGGTGGAGAAGAGGGAGGAGGGCAAAGGCTAGAACCTGATACCTGGGGCACTCAGCTCCAGATTTAGGTGGCCAGCAGGCTTGGGGCCAGGAACTTGAGAATACAGATGGTCCCTGTGGGGTAGCAGAGCACTGGTCAGAATAGCCATGAATATATCATGGGATTGTCAAGGTTCAACTTGTCTCAGGCCACTGCAAGGCCACTACCCAGTGTCTCTGCCAGGCCTGGGATGACATGTCAGGGCGTTGAAGAGCAGGAATCTAGCAACCTTTTGTGCATTTGACTGCTATAACCACAGGAGCTTCCCCACCCCCCAATGCCTTGAGTAGGCTGACCCTCGGCTTACCACACCCGTGTCAGCACTGACCCTTCGTGCACAAGTGACGCCAGAAGGCAGTGTGGTGGAGGTGTGGATCATCGAAGAGGGATCAACCTCCTGACCACACCCTTGCCCATGTCAGGGTCAGACACACGCTGCTGCCTGGATATCCACAAGAAGTCACCACCCTCCTCCACCATCCTGAGATCCAGGGAGGGTCTTGTGAACTTGGTGTTAGGCTCCGTACACGTCTAGAAGGAAGGGATGCTCGCTGGGGCTTGACGTCGTGGGCATCTCTAAGGGTGGGCAGGGGTCTCTTCCAGAGAAGAGGAGCGGGATGCTCATCTTGGGTAACTAGGAGCATCCTCCACGCATATAGGGGTGGGACGAGGTAGTCCCCTCTGCCTGAACCCAGAGCTCCAAGACGCCCCATGACCGGAAGTGCCCCCCCGTGGGCGCGGACAAGGCGGGGCCGGCGGGCGGCACTTCCGGTGCCCACGCGCCGCCGCCTCCTCCGCCGTCGCGCAGCTCGCGGCCGTCACTTTGTGTAGTGCGGGGGGGTCCCCGGTGGTCACAGCCCCCGCCCCCGAGTCCGTGTCTCGCTCCGGCTTGGCCGGGCCCCGGGCGCGCGCGCGGTGAGTGGGGCGCGCGGATGCGGCAGGTGCGCGCGGGCGGGACGCGCGCGCTGGGGGCGGTGGCGGCAGCGAGCCTGGCTGTCCTGGATGCCCGGGCGCTGGAGGCCTCGGATGGTCGTGGGGCGATCGCGGGGTTCCGGGGCCTGTCTTTGCAGGCATTGGAGCTGCAGCTGCACGAGCTTGATCTTCCAGGCCCTAGGTCCTCCCATACTGGCCTGGGCCTGCGAGTCACGTCACGGATGGCTTGACACCCCTCCCCTCCCGAGGGTACATAGACTACAGTGTGGGAGGGGTCGGGCCGGAGACGACACGCACTGCACCTTTGGAAGGTGCCAGCACCGCCTCCTCCAGCTCAGGGGCGGGAGCTAGGCGGGGGCCCCCATTCCCCGGAGAGACATCTTCCAAAGGACTGTCACTACTACTGCTCAGGCATGAGATGGATCCTAGGTAACTCCTTTAGAGGGAGGGAGAGGAGGGAAGCACCCTGTGTCGGCTTCCTAAAGCCGGCTTTGTGACATTGCCCCCCGTGCCCCCCGTACCCCCCCCCGCAGTCCAGCCTGCTTCATCTGCAAATGGAGGCCGACTTGGGTTACTACTGTCTGCTAAATCAATTGCCCCTGAGGTGGGTGGGGAAACTCATCCCTCAGGTTGTTGGAATCTAGGTGCCTCCTGTGGACACAAGGAGGGAAAGAGAAGGTATGGGTACCAGCGAGGATTAGCTCACCTGCTCAACCTCGGTGGGTGGCACTGGCACTTTGTTTTTGTTCAGTAGCTACTGGCGGGTCTTATGGAGCTAGCTGGCCTGGTTGAGGAGCCTGATCTGGGGATCTTGGATGGCCTCCAGGAGCAACCCTGGAGAATAGGGGCTCCGGAAACTCGGCAGATGGTGAGGATTGTAGTGAATAGGACAGACGTCCTGAACAAAAAGTCCTAAAGGACTTTGAAGTCAGTGGGGTGCCACCGAACAGGAATGAAGGTAACCAGATACAAGTGTGCATGCACGTGCACGAACACACACAAATATGCTCCCTGGATTTTGAACTTTTCTGGAGTTCCTAACTTTTCAAACTTTCCCATGTGTCTTTGCACACTCCCTGCTTATGGGCAGGGCCCCACCCCATTCTGTGTCTGCAGCACTATGCTCTAAGCCTCGGGGACCTTAGTGGAAAGAAGGTGGAGTGACCCAGAAATTTTGCATGATGAAGCCATGAACTTGACTCTGTCCATTCTGATCTAGGATGGGAGGTCAAGGGGAAGTGAGATTTTTTTAGTGACTGATTGGCTTGGGGGGAAAGGAGGATGTCTGAGGAGGGGGAGCCCCCAGGACCCAAGTTGTAAGAATATGAACTGACCATCCCTGGTCAGACTGGTTTTTTGAACTTTTATTCTGAACCCTGGTTACGCATCTAGAGCATCAGACTTTTCTTGGCTTCTGCCCTGTCTTCCCGTGGACTGCTAACCTTAGAGGAGTTTTGTTTGTTTTTTGAAACAGGGTTTCTCTGTGTTGCCCTAGCTGTCCTGGAACTCTCTCTGTAGACCAGGCTGGCCTCAAACTCCCAGAGATCTGCCTGCTCCTGAGTGCTGGCATTAACTGTGCACCACCACCACCCTGCTACCTTAGGGTTCATTATGTATACAATGTTCTGTCTGAAGGCCAGAAGTTACCAGAGCTCATTACAGATGGTTGTGAGCCTCCTTGTGGTTGCTGGGAATTGAACTGAGGACCTCTGGAAGAACAGTCAGTGCCCTTAACCCCTGAGCCATCTCTCCAGCCCCCACGTTAAAGGCTTTTTAATAATTTCTTTCTTCTTGCTCTGACCTGACAAGAGACAACTTGAGTGAGGAAGCTTTCTTTTACTTTGGCTCACATTTTAAAGGTACAGACCATCTGATGGGAAAAAACACCTTGTGGCCATAGCTTGAGGCAGCTGGTCACATTGTATCCACAGTTAGGAAGCAGAGACAGTGGTTCTGTTGCTGAACTTGCTTGCCCCCTTTTATTCAATCTAGGACCCTAGCTCTGGAGATGGTGTCGCCCACATTCAGGAAGATCTTCTTATCTCGATTAACCTAATCTAGAAACCTCTCACAGACATCCCAGAGGTGTCTGTGATTCCAGATCCTGGCAAGTGTGCAACAGTAACCATCACTGGCTGGTGCACAGATTTGATTTTACCCACTGTCCTCTTTGGAGGCAGAGACTTTCCACTGCTTCTGGGGTGGATTTTAGTTTGATGTACCCTTCTCTCGTTCTGTAGCTGGCCTGTTGTGGAGTGTGACAGTTGAGCTGTGACACTGATTTAAAACAAAGCAAAACAAAAAACAAAACAAACAAACAACAACAAAAAAAACCGATGTCCATGTCATTAACTATAGACCTTCAGGCCACGTCTTCAGTAAGGTCTGCAGTGACTACTGTATGTCTGGCATGGGGACCCAGGGGAAAGAAAGTGGGGACTCTTCATTTTCCCTCTGTTGAATACTTTTCAGTAAACAAAGTGTGGGTGCTGCCTGGGAAGAGAAGTAGCCACGATGGGCTGCCGCCTCCTTGTGTATAGAGTACGTACACAGTTTAGTGTGTGCTTCTGTGCATGCGGGTGTGTGTGTGTAGATGACCGGTCAGCATCAGGACTCTTCTTTAGTCACTTCCCATCATATTATTTGAGGCAGTGTCTCTCTTACTAATTCCTATCGCCTGGCCAGCACAGCGGGGGCTGGGTTTACAGGGCTGTGCTTGGCTTCTTCTTCTTCTTCTTCTTCTTCTTCTTCTTCTTCTTCTTCTTCTTCTTCTTCTTTTTTTCCTCCCCTTTTCCTCTCCTTCCCACAGCTGTTGGAGGATTGAACTCAGGCCCTCCAAGCACTTTGACTAACTGAAGTGCCTTCCCAGCTATCTATCTTCTTTTCTTGGGGCCTGACAGTAATCTTGCCTGAGGAAGTCTGAAGTTGCTGCCCAAGGTGGTGAGCAGACAGGAGTTAGTGGGTGTCTGGCTCAGCTGCAGGCCTGAGGGGAGTGGTGCTTGGGAAATCTCTGAGTGTTCTCAGTGCTGGCAAGGACAGCACAAGGCATGTGTGTGTTCTAATCCTTCAGGCGTCTTCCAACACCAAAGGGCCCTGGGGGGCTCCCTGGCTCTCTTAGGCTTAGCTTTGTGGCTTTAGTCTGTGATGCAGTGCTTCTGAATGTAGTTTGGGACAGTGCCAGGGGTCTTCAGTCCACCGTAGCTCTTTGTTTTGGTTTGGTTTTTCTCAGGTAGGTCCCGTTACTGGCGCTCACTGAGTTGGTCACATTGGCTGGGCCAGCGAGTCTCGTGGGACCTTGTCTCTGCCTCCACATTGCTGGCACTATAGGCATGCACCATCATGCTGCACTTTTACATTCAGGGGAGCGAACTCAGGCTTTCATGCATGCAAAGATAGCACATTACAGACTGAGCTACCTCCCGTACCAAAGTGTAGGTTGTAATTTTTTAAAAAAAATGTTGAGTATTAGTGTTTTCCTCCTAGTGTATCTTGTGTACTACTTGTACGTCTGATGCCCACAGAGGACAGAAAGGGCATGGGATCTCCTGGAACTGGGGTTATAGATGACTGTGAGCTTCCATTGTGGATTCTGGGAATTGAAACTAGGTCCACTGGAAAAGCAGCCAGTGCTTCTAATGGCTGAGTGGTCTGTTCAGCCTCCAGAGCATAGGTTTGAAAGCAGATGTCTGAACAGAAAGGGGACAGGATATAGGTAAGCCTGACCTGAGCAGGCTGCTCAGTGTGTATGTGGGTATACCAGGCACAGTGGTCTGACTGTTCCCATGGCCTTGGGCATCTTTACCTGCCAGTCTGATTTTAGGCATCCTGAGGCAACACTGTCCACTGAGATGGCTCCAGTGTCTGGTGTGGGCTGGCATTTCAGGATCTTTTTGGAACTCAGCATGCTGGGGTGGCCTGCCCTGCTTTTGAAAATGGTCCCATTCAGATCTGAGATACTTACAGGGCAATTACTGGGTGGCATGATGGTAAAAGAGCCATAGAAATGAATTTGTGAAAACCACGGTGGACTGGTAAGACAGCTCAACAGCTGACAGTACCTGCTGCCAAGCCTGATGACCTGAGTTTGATCCCTGAGACCCAATGGGGTAGAAGGAGAAGACTCCTGCAAGTTGCCCTCCAGCCTCCACACATTTGCCATACCATGCATCCCCACTCCACAAATCAATATAATAAAAAACATAACTGCCAAGCCCTTGAGAGTCACTGAGCTGCTTCTTTGTAGACATGGGCTAGATTAGTGACTGTAGGACTCCTGCTGCTAGCCTGCTAAGCTGGTGGTGCTAGGCTCCAAGCCAGGTGCAGCCGAACTGAGTGTGTGGCATCACCAGGGGAGTAGGACCCTGTGAGCCTGTGAGGTGTTGACATTTCAACCTTTCTTGTTCTTTGATCCTTGAACTTTTGAAGGAGTGTCACCTTGTATGTCATCTGTGCTAGCCTAGTGATGAGCTGGACTCTACCTCCCGGACTGGCTGGCTGAGATTTTCACAACACCTCTGGAGTCAGATAAAGATAGGCAGAGTGAATGATGCCTGCTCATGGCGCTGTCTCTCCTTTGACTCACAGGAGGGGGCCTGAGAGCTTGCTGACTGTTGGTACTCTCTCCTTTCCCCTGAAGACAGGAAGCAGGATACTGCTCCAGCCCATCACCCTACCTCACCCCCACCCCTCCTAGCTGCAAAGGTGCCAGTGGTCTGACAGAGCTTGGGCCTGACCTGGCTCATGTCTGCTGGGAGCTGGGTAAGCTGCTCATTTTTGCTTCCTGTGTGGGACAGGCTGCCCCTTGTAGGTTACACTCCCCCATCAGTAAACATGGAACCCTGGGGCTGTGTTGGCTGCACTCCATGCTTCTCCTGGCCCTTAACGATTGGGATAATGGGTTACTTACTCAGGAATCGGCTCACACTAGACACATGGCTGCTGGTGAGAGAACAGAAGCCACGCCCCAGAGGATTGTGGGGTGAGCCCTTTGGGTGGTCTTTCTGGGTATGTCACGTGCCACCTGCACAGCCTGAGATGACAGATAGAACATGGTCCTTCCTCAGCCCTTGTGGCCTCCTCTGCAAATTGCCTCTGTGTTTCAGGCCACAGAGAGGCTCTCTCCTAGGGACGATGGCCGCCCTTCACACTACTCCAGACTCCCCAGCTGCCCAGCCGGAGCCTGCAAAAGATGGTTCAGAATGTGATGCTGACCCTGAGGAGGAGGAGGAGGGGAGAGGGAGAGAGGAGGCAGAGGTGTCAGTGGAAGTGGCCACACGGGTGCAGGATGCAGAGGCCAACTCAGAGGACAGTGATGATGGTGACGGTGTGGAGGAGGTGCTGGAAGAGGAACAGAGTCTGAGCGTGGGGACCCAGGCACAGCTTAGCAGTGGTGGAGGTGTCAAGTCGCCAGTTCTTCAAGGAAAAGGTAGGAACAAGGACCATCCCCCGCAGTAGCGGGAGTGGGGTGGAGTGGGGGTGGGGAGAAGAGGCTGGGGTCATGGGCTTCATGTATGGGAGTAGCCTGGAGCCCCACCCTGCTTGGCAGCCAGGGGCCACTGGCCCTGAGCGGTCTTCCTCTCAGAACTGCAGGCCTCCCGGGCATCTCCTGCTATTCAGGATGAGGATCTGGAGGAAGAGGAAGAAGAGGAAGATGATGAGAATTTCCTGACTCAGGTGAGCTGTCCTCTACATGTGCACTGGTCAGCTGTGGTCTGTGTGTTCTGGCTCTTGAGTGAGGACAAGGCTTTAGCTTCCAGGCCCAGGGTTTATGTGGTTCTGTTGTCCCAGGCCCCTGTCCTTTCCCAGGCCTTTATGTTGTGAGTGCTCTGCCTCCCACTCAACCGTACTGGGCATTGTTGGGAACATTCCTCCCCCCAGCCTGGGAGCACTGGTGTAGTGGGATATCACTACAAGGCATGGCTATCCCCATGCCACTCCTAGGCCAGGTTGGAGTCTTCTAGGATGACTATCCCCTCCTGGGGTCTAGTTCTTGCTGTTAGGTCAGACATCAGTACCCACACTCAGTTTAGTTGGTATCATCTGTCCATTGCTAACCTGTTGATGTAGTCAAGGTATTTGCTGACTACATCATTGTGTGACATAGGAGGGGCCATGGTAGCAAGGGCTTCTGCCCTCTCTGAGTTTGATGGATAGGAGATAGGTCCCTGTCACAGGGTAAGAGGCCTGAGAGACTGCAGTGCCATATGGGCACATGTAGACTCATCAATAATGGGGTGCTGGGCCGTGTTCCCACTGTTTTTTTGAATGGGTGTTGGAGGCAGGGTGTCCCCTCAGCCTCTCTCCTGGGGCTCTGTGTTCTTCAGGGGCTAGTGACTTTTGAAGATGTGGCTGTGTACTTCTCTTTGGAGGAGTGGGAGAGACTGGATGTGGACCAGCGGGACCTCTATCGGGAAGTAATGCAGGAGAACTATGGGATCCTGGTCTCCTTGGGTAAGGAAGAACCCTGGGGCAGTGTGCTGTGAGGGCTGTGGGGGCTTCACTGTCAAAGGGAGTGCTTCTTGAGCTCCTGGATTTTGGAGCAGTCAGCCCATTTTGGCCTCTGGGTTCAGGAGTCCAAACCAGGTGGAGACATGCTCTGAAGTTGTTGGCCCACTCTGGTCTCTTAACTGCACAGAAGCCTCTAGGTAGGAAGAGAACTGTGGGTTTCCTGCTGGTAAGGGTGTATGAGATGGGGTATGGAAGGAGGAGAGCTGGGTGTGGAAGGTAAAGCTTCCAGGAGTGGATTGTAGGATCTTTCAGAGCAGAGGTTGTGGGGGAGGCCTGGTCCTGGGAGGTTTGAGAGTGGAGGATTTGAGTGTGGACAGGGACAACCTGGAGCCCATTGGGACAGACACCCATACAGTGATCATCTTTCTCTCTCCTGGGTAGGATACCCAATCCCTAAGCCGGATCTGATCTTCCACCTGGAACAAGGAGAAGACCCTTGGGTCCCAGACAGCCCCCATCCTGAGGAGGGAGACATTGTCACTGGTGTCTACACGGGTGAGTGAGAGATGAGTCTTGGGGTGTTTCTGCTAGCATGGTTGCTCAGAGCCGTGTCTGAATTGAGCCATTACGAAGGCGAGCCCTCCACAGACCTGCACCTGGTGCCTCTAGTCTGCCATGATGCTGTTAATGCTCATGTTTAGGGGTGTGGGGTAGCTGTGAGGAGACAGGCAGATTGCAGTGTGCTGGCCCCTGCTGTCTTCTCCTGAGTCCTCATGATCCAGCTTCACAGAGGTCTAAGGGCTGCTATGTCCTTAGAGAACTTTCAGTGGTTTTTGATGTTTCCATCTTGGAATCTGTGAGGGTTTTTGTTTTGCTTTTTGTTTGTTTGTTTTTTCTGTGAGGGGAAAGGGGAATCATCAAGTGGCCACAGAAACCTACCAGCCTGTCAGTGTGGCTCTCTACATGCAGACTAACCAATTTTCTGATTTTCCACTTGGCCACTTCTTCATAAGGCACCCCTTAGTCCCTCTGCTTCCTCCAGAGCCATCCAGCTTGTTTTTTGAGACAAGGTATTACTGCTATACAAGGCTCATCAATTGAGTAGGCTGGCTGGCCAGTGGGCTCTGCCCATCTCTGCCCCTCCAGTGAGTGTGCTGCCAGTTTAGGTTTTTTTGTTTTGTTTTGTTTTTTTAATGTATACGTTTGGGATATAACTCAGGTCTTCAGATTCTGACCTAGGTGAGCGGTTTAAAGCTTCCAGGCAATTTCTGAGGTGATGTGTGTGGAAGGCACTGAAATGTGGACTTCTCTGGATGCCTCACACTGGCTCAGGCTCTGCCCATTCAACTCCCAGAGCCCCCCTCATATGGAGAAGAGGGTCTGAGATTTACCCATGGGTTCCAACCTGAGTATGCTGGCCTCCTGGTCACACTGAATATCTGTGGGGTCTGTGAGTCTCACTAGGACGTTGGCGTGATTGGAGGCCCTTGCCTGGAGGTGTCCCTCTTGGCTGGGTGAACTGGCTCTGTGCCCACTGTAACAAGCCATGGTGTTGAGGCTGGTGGCCTGAAATGTCTCTCAGCCTGGCCCTGTTTGCAGACTATCAGTTGGTACAGGGTGCATGAACATCTTTAAAATATTTTATCTTAAGCCAGGTGTGTGAGTGCACACCTTTAAACCCAGCGCTTGGGAAGCAAAGGCAGGTGAATCTGAGATTGATGCCAGCCAGGGCTACACACTGGAAAAAACACCTATAAGTGTAAGGTCAGGGGACAACGATGGACATCAGTCCTCAACATTCACCTTGTTTGAGATACATGTCTTTGTTTCCAAACACTGCATAGGCCTTGCTGGTGGCTTGTGAGCTTTTCTGGGGTTCTCCTGTCCCTTATAGGATGACTGGGTTACTACACTCATGCCTGGCTTTCCATCTGCGGCAAACCCTTGTACACATTGAGCTACCTCCCCAGCCCCCCAGGGCATGCCTTTGATGTGTCACATGACAGCCCACAGGCTCAGTGAAGCCCTCGGGTCTTCCTTCTGAGAACAGCCAGTGGTTTAGTGTCTGCCTCCTAACTCTGCCTTGCCTTTCATTCTCTCTGTCCAGCAGTGCCAGCTGGGCACTGAGAGTAACTGAATCTGGCAGGACAGATACCAACTGTCCCAAGGCTGGCCATCTGGACTTGTAAATTAGCCTTGTAAGACAAGACTCTAATTTCCTCTCCTCTGCACCTTGTGAGCTCAGCTGTACATGAGGTGTGGGCTCCCAGCCACATTCCATTCCTTCACTTAGGTGTTGCCATCTTCTGTGTGATCCTCAGTCCCACTTGCCCTTCAGCCTGTGCTCTAGAAATCCTAGCAACTCTGGCCACCTTCAACTCTTCACTCCAACAGTGTCTGACCAGCTCACCCTCCTGACCCAGCTTCCACCCCAGTGTTCTGGGGTCCTTATGAACCCCATGTGGTCCTGGAGAGATCCCTGTCCCTGGCTTAACCCTGTCTCCTGCCTCCAATCTATCCTGGAGCAGAGAAAACAGCTAGAGAAGGCATGCCCTGATGGCTGCTGCCCTGGCACTCCGTGTCCGTGTGCGCCTGGCCTTTTGCCTCCCATAGTACTTGATGTTTCAGCAGCCTCCAGAGGCTGTGCTGGCCAGAGCAGCAACTGACCCTGTGGGGACAATCCCCACCCCCTCTGCCGAGGCCTCAATCCCTTTTCCTTTCTTGGTATGTGTGTACAGGTGTGCATGAAGGCCAGAAGTCAACTCAAGAGCTGCCCTCTTGTTGAGACTTGTTTTCTCACTGGAATCTGGGGTTTGGTGATTAGGCTGGCTGGCCAATGAGTCCTGGGAGTTCACCTAATTCTGCTTTCCCTAATCTTGGATTACAAGCACACATCAGGCTTTTCACGTGGGTGCTGGGAACTGAACTCAGGTGTTTGTACTTATGTGGCAAGTGCTAACCAAACCATCTTCCCAGACCCTTTTCTGAAAGTGAAAGCTAGAGAGGAAATACAGCATCCAGGATCGAACCAGCTTAAACATAGATGTTTAACAGATGGTGACATAGTTTAAGAAGCACTGAGAATCTAGTAAGTAGCAAGTAAGCACAATGCGGGGTGGCGGGGTCTGGAGCCCCGCATGTGATCTTTCTTAAGCAAGATTGATCTCAAAGTGCATACTACCAGCCTGCGGACAGTTGGTCTCCACCTGAGCACACACAGCAGCTGTCAGTTACCTAGTGGTTCAGCTAAGCATAAAAGAGCATGGCAAAGGGAGGGTGACAAGGACAGAGGTCTCTCAGCCAGGGGTAGTGAATGAATACTTCCAGCAGGCAGCCTGGCACATAGCTATTAACAGCTAAGGACTTTAGAGGGTCTCTTGGGAGTGCACCTAGCCATGCCCTGGAGCAAACCTGGGTAGTAGAACCCTCTAGTCCTAGCCAGGCCACGAGGGGGCTGAGCCCAGTCATCCACTAGGTCCTTAGGCTTAGTGCAGGTAGACGGGAAGAAGTAAGGGAACATCAGGCAGAGGTTGGCTTCTTAGCATCTGGGGCAAAGGGATGATAGGTATCCACGTGCTGGAGACTCTGATGGGTAAAGGAATGCATACCCCTCCCAAATCCCTGTGACAAAGGTCAGCCTTGGCTCTTCTTAGTTCTTGGGCCTTGGTGTTAAATCTGTGCATCATCCATGAAGACATCAAAGTCATAGAGTTGCCGGTCTTCCCAGCAATAGGGGCCGGCCCAGTGCCCATCCCCAGAGAAGGGCTGCCTGCTTCCAGACCTGTCAGCATGGCCAGATCAATGCCAGTGTAGAAGCTGGCTACCTTCCCAGGCTGACATTCAGACACCTCCCTGGCAGCTCTCAGCGGGGCTGCCAACATCATAGACTTGGGTATCCTTTTGGTGTCCCCAATAAGGAAAGGAACTCTGCCCCAGCTCATCCTTAGTTTCTGTAACTTAGGTGGAGGAGATGATGGGGAGAGCATGAAGTCAGGTACAGATACTACCTGTTGTCAATGGAAACAAAATGGCACCTTGACTGGGTCCTCTGCAACTGCTGACAGCCTCCAAGACAGCCAGCACCCCACACTGTAGCCTTGGAGGGGACTGGCCTGCTCAGAGTCCCTGCAGTAAAAGATCTGGGTAAAGGGCTCAGCTTTGCCCAGGCAGTCCTTGAAGAATCCAGCAGATTGGGGACATAAGCCATGGGAGAGCCCCTGGGGTGGAGCACAATGGAATAAGCTAGTTTTGAGCTTATAAATTCCCAGTATTATGCTTCAAAGCGACAAATCTGTAAGACTCACACTACCAGCCACTATGACAGAGAGACTAACCAGGTGACATTTGCAGAAATGGGGAAACTGGTGATAGCCCACAGCTCTGAGGGTTTCTACTTAGTACCTTGGCCCTTGTACTTCTTTGTTTGTGCCCACATCCCCAACTGTCATCTTTCCCCATGGTGAGCGGGAAACCTGTTTCTCCAGAGTCCAGGTATCTCCAGCTCAGGACATGGGTTGTAAAGATGTTCTTGTGGTAATGCTGTGTATTTTGGCTAGACAGTTGGCTTTGACCCCCGACTCATCCTGGAGGCCTACCTAATCACCCTTCACCCATGGTCTGATCTCTGGAGCAAATGTTAGGTGCAAGGCAGCCCCCATCCCTACCTTACCCCCCATGGGTCTGGGTTTGGCCCTCAGGGTCACCTGTTGGAATCCTGCCCTCCCCACTGCCGTCCAGCTGTTCAGAAAGACACCACACCCTCCAGGTGTGTGTCCACTTACAGTAGACGTGATGATCCTCATCTAAGACTAACAGACCTCAGCTGTGACATGTCTGCCAGTGGTCTGGCTATTCCTTGAGATGGTACACTCCATGGCTATGACTTCTAAACTTTGAGCAAACACCTTGAAGCAGGGAATGAGGAACCAAAGCTAGTCTCCCAGAAGCCCAGCAGCTTGCTGAGGTCTCCCCTTGGGGTGGAACCAGCCGACTTATTCAGGGCTAGGGTTGGCTCTTCACCCTGCACCAGTGCTGGTCTCCATTGAGCTCAACGCAGGCCCTATGCTTGTTGATCAGAGGTCATTCGAACTCCAGAGGTAGCGGTGTGGTCCCCCAGGCCTCTCTCAGGATTGGCCTCCCTGCAGAGCTTCGTGTGGTGGAATCAGGTGCAGGGGTTCATCCTGAGAGCGCAGACATTCCTGCTGTTCTGGGACTTCAGGAAAGTGCCAGCCTACTCTCTCAGCTCCTGGGGAGTCACAGACTGGCAGATCCAGAGGACTGTATTCATTCCTCAGGATCAGCTTCCCTTGACTTACTGGGATCTAGTTTAAAAACTACTTAAGCCTCTCACCAGATTCAGCCATCTTCCCCCTGCCCCAGGGGGAGGGGGGGGGGGGGGGGGGGGGGGGGGGGGGGGGGGGGGGGGGTGGGGGGGCGGGCGGGGCGGCGGGGACCCCGTTCCCCCAGCTGCTCCTGCCTTCCCAGGTTTGTAGAGTTGTGGCTGAACAAAGAAGGGAATCCAGCCAGCAATAGGGCCTCTCTCTGACACTTCTTGTCACTCTGGTGGCCATGTTAGCAGCTGGAGGTAAATTCAGCTTAAGATATTTTCCCATCTAAAACTTCTAAATTATATATTACTAGAATAGTATTTCAGACTAAGCAAAAAGAAAGTAACCCATTTTCTTGTCCTTTCATGTGGGTGGCGTGTTCATTCACATCTGTAGTTAGGCCCTCACAGTTCTCTGGCTTCATGTATGTGGCACTATGCTATCTTCTCCTGTGATTGACATCTAGTATGCAGAACCAGGGCTGATGGGGTGTAGGTTTTCAGACTTCCTGGGCCAGGCCTGGCGCCTGTGGACCAGACTCACCCAGGCCAGTGGTGATGTAAATGGACCAGACCTTTGCCCTCAGAATCAAGTGGGTGGGAGCCCAGCCCTTCCAGCTGCTGACATCTGATGGGCATGGTGCACAAGAGAGCAGCACACAGGTGCATTGTCCCTGTGTGTCCTACATACTTATTTCCTCAACAAGGCAGTCCTGCAGACTCGATTCTGGAGCCCACACAATTTCCAGAAGGACTGAAGAACGAGTCAGGGGTGCATCTCAGGGAGGGGGGGGTTCAGTGCAGAAAGTCCTAGAGTTGTTTGTTCACAGTACCCACAGTCTCAGCTGGCCTGGAGTCTCTCAAATTCGAAGTTCAGGGAAATGAAGCCTGGGTGTGGAAGGAACTCAAGACCCCATGTGCACAGCTCCTGGGGCCTCTTTAAGGTGAGAGCCCATAGGCTCTCCCCTGACTAGACATTCCTTTTTCTGCTATCTCACCACTGGTAGAGAGGACTGGTAAAGAGAGGTAGAGGGAGAAACGGGGAGGGGTAGGTTTTACAGAGGCAGGTCCTCCACGTAGAGGATATGGCTGGATGTGCCATGCTCGGTGCTTGGGGATTGCAGGGCCCCAGGTTTCACCCCAGTGCCTTTTTCTGTGCACAAGAACCTGCTGATAAACTACCCACTTTGCAGTCTCCCATCCTCCAGAGTGGCAAGCCCTAGAGGGTCCTCGATTTCCTGGCCATGTGTGCATATTGGGCCTCTATGAAGTCTAACTGCGGGGAGGCCAGCAGCCTTCCTGCCTTGGGGCTGGAAGAGATTGGCTATGGTGTGCACCACCTCTGACTTGAGAAGCAGGTCTGTGCCAAGGAGTTTATAGGGCGATATCCTTGCCGAGCTCCTGTGCCATCCTCGTGTCTTTTCACCCCCAGGAGCTTGGTTCTGGAACGATGACATAGAGGACCATGAGGAGGAAGATGACGAAGACTTCCTTGCTGAGATGGCAGAGGAGGAGAACGAGCCCCCAGGACTGTGGTCTGCTGCCTATGGTGTGGGGGATGTGCCTGGGACTTGGGGTCCTGACGACTCAGATTTGGCGCAGACTCCAGACGGTTGGGGACTGAACCCAGCCACTGGCCTCGGTATCCGGGCCGAGGAGGTTGAAGCTAAACATTTCCTGTCCGGCAGGGAGCCTGGGGAGAACTTCCTGGCGCCCTGGGTATTTCCCGCTGTGTCTGTCCCCATCGGACGTCCGGAGACCACTTGCGACGTGTGCGGCAAAGTGTTCCCTCACCGCTCGCGCCTGGCCAAGCACCAGCGTTACCACGCGGCCGTCAAGCCCTTCGGCTGCGAGGAGTGTGGCAAGGGCTTTGTGTACCGTTCGCACCTGGCCATCCACCAGCGCACTCACACCGGCGAAAAGCCCTTCCCGTGCCCGGACTGCGGCAAGCGCTTCGTCTACAAGTCGCACCTGGTCACGCACCGGCGCATCCACACGGGCGAGCGGCCCTACCGCTGCGCCTTCTGCGGCGCGGGCTTCGGGCGGCGCTCCTACCTGGTGACCCACCAGCGCACGCACACGGGCGAGCGGCCCTACCCGTGCCTACACTGCGGCCGGAGCTTCAGCCAGAGCTCAGCGCTCGCCCGCCACCAGGCTGTGCACACCGCCGATCGTCCTCACTGCTGCCCGGACTGCGGCCAGGCCTTTCGCCTGCGCGCCGACTTCCAGAGACACCGGCGCGGCGGCTGCCCGGAACCCGGCGGCGGCGATGGCGCGGGCACGGCTCCCCACGAGCTGGAGATGGCAGTCGCGGCTGTAACCACAGCGGAGCCCGAGGAAATGGAGGCCAGGCCCAAAGAGACGGAAGATCCCGGCTCTGGTGTGGCAGATGGAGACGCCGCCGAGGCTGAAGCCAGAGAGGACGAGGAGGTGGTAGCTGCAGCGGCAGAGGCGACTACTGTCCCTGACAGCAAGAAGGACCCTGAGCCAGGCAGGCGGTTCCATGAGATGGGCAATGGCCTGAGTGGGGGTGAAGGGCCTTCCTCGCACCCGCTTGGCTTCCATTTTCCCATGCACCCCAAGTCTTGGCTGCATCCGGACAGTTTCCCCCTACTGGGGTTCCCCGAGTTCTCTGAACGGCTGCAGGCCGATAGGCGCCACCTCTCTGGCCCCCTGGGCGCCCCGCTGTCCCTGGAGAGCGCGGGGTTGGCTTGTGACCCGTTCCGCAGCGCGGGCTCCGGAGTGGGGCCCGATGGTGGCCTGCGAGCGTTCGCACCCGCCGTCGGGTCGCTGCTGGCCGAGCCCGCGCCCGCCGCAATGGCGGAGGAGGAGAGCCCGTGGATCTGCTCCGACTGCGGCAAGACATTCGGGCGGCGCGCGGCGCTGGCCAAGCACCAGCGCTACCACGCGGGCGAACGGCCGCACCGCTGCGCCGACTGCGGCAAGAGCTTCGTGTACGGCTCGCACCTGGCGCGCCACCGGCGCACGCACACGGGCGAGCGGCCCTTCCCGTGCCCGGAGTGCGGCGCTCGCTTCGCCCGCGGCTCGCACCTGGCGGCGCACGTGCGCGGCCACACGGGCGAGAAGCCGTTCGTGTGCGGCGTGTGCGGGGCGGGCTTCAGCCGGCGCGCGCATCTTACGGCGCACGGGCGCGCGCACACGGGCGAGAGACCCTACGCGTGCGGCGAGTGCGGCCGGCGCTTCGGCCAGAGCGCGGCGCTGACCCGGCACCAGTGGGCGCACGCCGAGGAGAAGCCGCACCGCTGCCCCGACTGCGGCAAGGGCTTCGGCCACAGCTCGGACTTCAAGCGGCACCGGCGCACGCACACGGGCGAGAAGCCGTTCCGCTGCGCCGACTGCGGCCGCGGCTTCGCGCAGCGCTCTAACCTCGCCAAGCACCGGCGCGGCCACACCGGCGAGCGGCCCTTCCCCTGCCCCGAGTGCGGTAAGCGTTTCTCTCAGCGATCCGTGCTCGTGACGCACCAGCGCACGCACACGGGGGAGCGGCCGTACGCGTGCGCCAACTGCGGCCGGCGCTTCTCGCAGAGCTCGCACCTGCTCACGCACATGAAGACGCACCGCGGTCAGGCGGGCGCGCAGGCGCAGGGCGCCGCCGCCAAGGCGCCGGCACCTACCAAGGTCCCGCCGCCTCCGCCGCCACCGGGCTCCGGGTCCGGAACGCTGCTCGAGTTCGCTGGTGGAACCAGTTTCGGCTCCGATCCCGCCGCGTTCGCTGGGCCCTCGGGCGCCTACGAGGAGAGCGTCCTGTGAGATTGGTGGAAGCGCGCGGCGCCTCCCGTTCCTCGAGGCGGGCTGAGGATTCCCAATCTTGGGTGCCTCTGGCCCCTACCGCCCCGAGCTTTAGATCTCGCTTGGGCGAGCACCGGCCACCATCCTGATCAAGAGCGCCCCATCCCTGGATCTGTGCTGCAGGGAGAGGGGGGGCAAGGTCAGTTTGTTCATCACGGATTCCGATTCAGGTGGCCCACAGAGCCAGCAGCTTAGGAGTCTGGCACCCGGCTTTCTGACAAGCGAGAGGGAGCCCTGTCATCGGGAGAGAGCGAGAGAGCATCCGGCTGCTCTGCTCCGAATTTGAGTTTCTTGGTGGGTTTGGCTTCTTCCCACTCTTCCTAGGAGATTCAGGGACCGTCTTCCAGAAGTGTGTCCAGAAGTTTTAAGAACATGGTTTGTGGCAGGCGGGAGCCTCACTAGGCTTCTGAGGGATGAAGGTGCAAACAGAGAAAGCTTTTGTTGTGTCGACTGTAGGTATTTATTTCCATCTTTTTTAAGACCGGAAGACTGTGGGGAGGAGTTGAAAAAGCATGATAACCAAGTTACAGATGTTGGTAGGGCCCTGGGGAGTTGGAAGCCTTATTCTTTGAAAATCCTTACTCCAACCCCTAAACACGGGTCTGTCAGCACTGGCTACAAGGTGGGTTTTGGTATTGGTATCCTCTCTAAGCTTGTTGGTTCTCTGGTGGCTACAAGGGGCACACATGGACATCTTCGGAGTCTGGTGTGGGCAGACTAGTTCCCTAGCAGCGCCCCCCAGTGGAGCAGGTGACTGCTCCCTATACTCAGCCTTTCACAGCACTGGGGTAGGTAGGTTCAGGAACCTTACCCCTCTGCTTCTAATAAGGGCCCTACATCCTCTGCAAGCCTAACTCTGCTTCTGTAATCACCCTACACTAGAAGCAGGTAGTGTTTCTGCCACGGGTAGGTCTGTGGACTACAGACGGATTGGTGACTTGCACAGTGGAAGTCCACATAAGGGCATCACGTGGACCCAAGCTCACAGCGCCTTACTATGCAAGGCCCTTGCACTGTGCATAGCTAACTCTCCAGCCTGGACTGCTGGCATCTGAGGTATGGCTCGCACAAGCTCCTCCCACCCTCCAGGATTCTGGGCCAGTCTGACTGGGGGATAAAGAAGTGATTTTTCAACTGCATTCCCTTTTAGACCTAGATCCTTTATTGTAGTGTAGACACACCCTTGGGGCCCAAGAGCTAACAGGCAGGCTGCTAGGTGCTGGGTGGGTAGTCCATGGGTGGGAGGAGAGCTGGGGTGGTGAAGGTCAGAACTTATCTGGCCAGGTGAAGTAGGGTGGGAAGGCATAGGTCTTGATTGCTCAGCAGTGGCCTCTCTGTCCCATTTTCTTTTTTTAATGTTCCTTCCTTGTCTTCTGGGACAGGATATGAATTTCAGAAAAAGCCAGGGCAGGGTGGGCTGGGAGGGCACCATTCTCATCCCTCCTGGGCCCCTCTGCTGTGGTCAGGAGGACGGACCTAGCTTTAATAAAGATGGAGAAACAAGCTTTGGGACTGGACTCTGCTTCTTGCCCCACCTTGGTGTCAGTCAGGGATGCTCACTCTACAAGGTCCCTCTCCTTCTGACTTTTTTTTTTTCCCCTTTCTGGGAAACCAGAATTGATTCTTGCATGGCACATCATGAATTTAGCCTGTGCCCACCACGACTTGCTGGGATGCCTCACACTGCCATGAATTTGGAACAACACACACACGGGACACAGAAGGGAGTAATTGGCTAACCTTCCAGATTGAGAGGACTCCCTTTTCAGTGTGCAAGACCCATGCCTTGGCCTTTTCTCAGGGGCTCTAGTGCTGTGGAGTTTACCAATTCAAAACCCACAGAGGCATGGCCACCCCCAGAATTCCCAAACAACTCCCTTTAAGCTAGCTTTCCTTACTCAGCCTCTGTATTAAAATCTTTTCCCAGTGGGTTTGAAAAATGTGCATATATGATTTGAGGCATCAGAATAAAGGAAACTAGTATCTCCATCAGAACAACACGCAGGCTGGGCAAGGGATGTAGCTCAGTGGGTACAGTGTTTGCTCAGTATTCAATTTTTCATCCCTACAACTCCATAAGCCGGGCATGGTTGGTGCATGCTTGTCATCCCAGCATTTGGGAGGTGGACCCAGGAGGACCACAAGTTCATGATCACTTTCAGCTCCATGAGTTTGAGGGTTTGAGGCCAGGTACGTAGAGATTGTACCTCAAACAAACAAACAAAAAAATACCCCAGACTTTTAGGAAGTAGATGCTTCAAAAGACATATGGATGGATAAACATCAGATCTTAGCCTACTGAGAAAGGCCAAACAGTTCCTTGCTAAAGCTCACGATTAATGTTCAGCTAGAGTTATGTTGTGGGGTAGGAATCCCCAACCGTACAATTGGAAGAAGAAGAAGAAAAAAAAAAAAAAAAAAAAAAAAAAAAAGAAGAAGAAGAAGAAGCCCCAGTGACGTGTGAAATGTGACTGTGACCAATCAAAGGTGACATTTGATTTGGAGGTTATTATGCCTGGACATTCTCTACCTAACCTACCTCTTCATTTTTCTTGCACCTCTGTTTTCTCAGCATATATACTGTTCAGCAACCCCGCCCCCCCAAAGCAAACCATGTAGAGTTGTGCATGCTGACATATGCCTAAATCCTAATACTTGGGAGGCAGTGGTAGGAAGATGTAAGTTCCAGAGGGAAATGGGATATGTAGTGAGTTGTAGTCTACAAGAGACTAGAGAGATGGCTCAGCAGTTGAGCACTGGCTGCTTTCCCAGAGAACCTAAATCCAGTTCCCACATGATGGCTCACAACCATCTGTAATGAGAGCTGGTGCTCTCTTCTGGCCTTCAGGGATATATGCAGGCAGAACACTGTATATATATATAATATATATATATATATATATATATATATATATATATATATAATAAATCTTAAAAAAAAAAAAAAAAAAACACTGGCTGCTCTTCCAGAGGACTCAAAACCCTCTTCCACTCCTCCTGGCTCTGCAGGCACAGGGAATGTATGTGGCACACAGACAAAGCTCTCATACACACAAATAAAAGCAACAGGACAACTTACTCTGAATTTGCCTCAGCCATATTCCTATCTGCTTTCCCCATTCTGGACATAATGTTCATCATTTCACTTGTTACAATTAGAATATGTGTCTCTTGGTTTTTGTTGCTTTTAATATGTGGGGCAGGACCGCTCAGGAGTTATATAGAGTTAAGAACACTGGTTACTCTTCTAGAGGAACCAGATTCAGTTCCCAGCATCTACATGGCTCACAATCTTGTTTTAGGGATCTGACCCCTCCTCTGACCTCTGAAGGCCCCTGCCTACATGGTTCAGCATAAATTAAAAACTGTGTATGCATATGAAAATGTTTGCATGCATTCAGTGTATGCAGGCTTGAGGCTGGTATTAGGTATCTCCCTCAGTTACTCTCCACCTTATTTGTGAGACAGGGTCTCTCACTAGAGCTCACCAGTTTGCTGGCAGGCTAGTGAACCCCAGAGATCCTCCTGTGTCCCCAACCCTAGCAGGTACTGGGGGAACAAACTCAGATTGATGTTTGCATGGCAAGCACTTCATCTTGGGAGCCATCTCCCACGAACCTTGAATGCATTTCTCTAAAAGGTTGCATAGGAAAGGAAAGGCCTTCGTAAGACTCCAATTCCAGTATTCTTCAGTGCCTGTTACCATACACTCTTTCCTAAAGTGCTGCACTCTCTCTATAATCCCTGTGCCCACACTGTTACTGCATCTATGCCATCTCCGGCTTCAGGTGGGTAGCAACAAGCTGCCTGTGTCAGCCCATCATTTTCACAAGCATCATAAAATTTAAATTCAACAGAGGAGAGATGTTCAGCTGTTAACATAGCACTTACTGCTCTTGCAGAGAACCCCAGCAATCTCACAATGGTGGCTAACAACCATGTGTAACTCCAGTTCCAGGGGACCTGAAACTCTTCTGACTCCCATGAGCTTCTGTCCACGTGCTGTGCATAAATACATCCAGGTGCACACAGATAAAATAAATGTATTTTTAAAAATCCAATGGATGGGTTGTTTTTTCTGTTTTCACATATGAGAGAAATTCATTTTTCATAATTACCTGTGTGGTAAGAAATTTCCTTGTACATGTCACTTAGTTTAAGTAGAGGCAGTATTCTGTAAAGCTTGACATAATTTGGGGGGGTAGTCATGTGGTTTCTTGGCTGGTTGGATCACAACTACATACAGTAAGAGATGACAGGAATGAAGAAAGGGCAAATCCAAAGCTCACAAGAAATGTCCTGGTGGTAGTCTACCTTCGCCTTTTTCTTTAAACGTGTATTGTGGGTTGAGGAGATGGCCCAGTCAGTAAAGTACCTCTCATACAAGTAGGAGGGCCTGGGTTCTGATCTATGAAATCCATGTAAAAAGCTGGGCATGGTGATACATGCTTGTAACTCAAGTCATGGGGGTTGGAGTAGAGAGGTGGATTCCTGAAGCTCACTGGCCAACCAATTTAGACATGCATGTATAAGCCTCAGGTCCAGTGAGACCCTGTCTCAGAAAATAATAGTGATGGAGAGACACCCAGTTTTCACCTTGGACCTCCACATGCATACACACAACACACACACCCAAATATACATTGTCTCATCAAGTTATGATACAGTTATGGGAAAGCTTCATGTGTGTATGTGGCTGTCTACTCCTGGACCTCTTAATTGTCCTGCCTCCATCTTCTAAGTGCTAAAAAATTATAGGCATACCCCACCATACCTTGCTGTAGACACCATACAACAAATATATTACCAACTTTTTGTTCCAATACCAAACTAAACCACCTACCAGACTTTAGCTTTTGGTTAGGTAGTCTACTCAGAATTATTCAAGGATATGGGGAGTGGGCAGTGCTGAGCAACAAAATAGGAGCTATATGAGTCTTATACACAGTAATGTGGCATTTTGTATAGTAAATTGTTCAAAAGATGAGCTACCAGGATAATAATCTGAATGAACAAAATGAGATCCTTACCTCACACCACATATTTCCAAATGTAAGCAATGATCCATGTGCAAGTTCAGTTGTCCCAAACAACATGTAATGTATTAGAAAAAGGAAGTAGACCTGGTATCTGTTTTCCCAAGTCAACTTTAGAAGTGGAGCTGCTCATGGTGGCTCACATCTGTACTCCCACACTTGGGAGATTGAGCAGGAGGATTACCCCGAGTTTAAGGCCTGTCAGGGCTACAGTGCAACACTGGTATCTCAAAACAAGAGAAAACAAGGCCTTAGTTGGCAAAGTGCCATCCTCACGGTCATGAGGCTCTGAGTTTGATTCCCAGAACCCATGTGCAAAAAGCCAGCAATGGCGGTGGATGACCATTGGTGAAGTGCATCCCCAGAACCCATGTATAAAATGTAACCATGGGCACTTATAATTGCAGAAATGGGAGATGGAGACAGGTGGCTCCTGACACATGCTGGGCCAGTCTAGCTTACTTGTAATCTCCCCACCAGTTAGTGACACCCTGTCCCAGCAAACAAGGGAGACACCGGAAGTTGTCCTCAGGCCTCCACACTCACGTGCACACACAAACACATAGGGAAATAATTTTACAGGCCAATGACAAGACAGCTCAAGGAAGTATACACATTTGTTTCAAGTTCATTTTCAATGCTCAGATTATTTACATACAAATTTACAGATAATAAATCTCTCTATTAACACATCAAAATAAATGATTTAGTGAAAGTCCACTTCTGAATTGCATAACTCCTACAAAGTGTAATGTTACATCAGGTAGACTGTCTTGTTGTTACTAGCAGAATATTCCTAAGTCAACTGGCTTTGAAACAAATAGTATCTTAGGAAAAAACACAGTCCAGACATGGAGTAGTTACAGGTCATGCTGGCTTAGTGGCTCTGTGACATCAGGTCCCAGTTTATTCTACTTTCTGCAATGGCCATGATTACACTGTATCCATTGTTGGCAGTCATTGTCAGGCACCACATGAGACAAGGTGATTGTTCACCAAGGTTCAGCTTCTTAAAGGAAAGGCTTTCAAGGAATGACCTCTGATGACTCCTCTAACACTTTACATATGAGCCCAAGGTTACAAGAAAGGATTATCACTACCAATAAAACTTAATCAGAAGTTATCTCCCATCTTTCAGACTACAGGCAAAGAGCAAGGAGGGAGCGCTAGAAGGCAATGGAGGATGCCTGTAACAACCCTTATTTGTGTGTTCTCACCTAGTGATGATAGAACAAGGAACGTTCACAATACTAGCACATAGACAGTGCTACACAGCCCTTGTGCTCTACACACACCTAAGCATCTACATTAAAAAAAACAGCAGATAGAAATGAGAATATTCTAAAGTATAGTTCTTAGTTGTACAGAGTACAGTAAATGCTAAAGCTATTTCTTGCCCTTGGAGACTTCTGGCTTAATTAAAAATGGTCTATTCAGAGTTTCCTATTTTATCAATACATTTCTGTCTTCTGTGCTATAGTTGAAAACAGCAACAACAAAAGACTTCTTACAGATGATACAATTCTGTGACAATGACCATTTTAAAATCCAAGAAACAAGAAAAAGCATAGTTCGTAACTTTCAAATACTACCTCAGTGACAGTGCGTATTAAGAAAGTAGTATGGTGAATTTAGATGGATAATCTTACCATATGTTACAAACTAAGGATACAACATTTTTCCAAGCTTGATTAAAACTGAACATATGATTTCTGTGATGGTTACTAAAATAAGACAAAGAAACCCCAAGTCCTATGTTCTTAGGGAACTGTTTACCAGTTTAATGCAGCAAACTTGGCTAACTAGGCTTATAATTTTATATCTTATACTTATAGAGTGTACTTATTTCTAGCAGATTATCTTTTCAATTTTACACAGTATCCTTTAGTATTAGCAGTTTCCAAAGGAGTGTGCTTCCCACATTCCTTGAGTCAATTCCCTGATAAGCAGTTTGAAGTCATGCTGAAACATGCTTATACATTCTTACTCCTGTATAGTCTGCTATGTGGTCTTTTCACAACTGTGGCTTCCACTCTGTGAATTTCCGATGGATCTACATTACATGGACTTGTCCTGCTCATTTGTGTGGGCTCGCTGAAGTATCCTTTGGTATGTGGGACTGTGGTTCTAGGACCACCTGAACACCAAAGTCTGCAGTTCATTAGTTCCCTAGGTGAAATGGTCTATTTGTGTTCAGCTTTAACTCATCTCGAGATTATATTTAATATCATATAAATGCAACAGAAAGAGTTGTTATATTGTACTACTAGGGAATAACAAGAAAAAAGTCCGTACATATCCCATACAGATACTGAGATACTGAATCCTTGGCTATGGAACCTATGGGTCCTGAGGGCCAATTGTACAATATGGCTCCACTCCAGACAGAGGTGTCTAGTTAACTGAGGTGGTCATCTGAAGTCTGCCTTTAAAGGAGCCTTCCCACATCAACTACATTCACATTCCCTCTTCTATGAATTCTCTGATGACTATTGAATGCTGACTTGTGGTAGAATTTCTTCCCACATTCAGTACATTCATAGGGCTTCTCTCCTGAGTGGGTTCTATAATGCACAGTGAGGTATGACATCCGAGAGAAGGCTTTCCCACACTCGTTACACTCAAAGGGCTTCTCTCCTGAATGAATCCTATGATGTATAGTGAGATAGGACATCTGAGAAAAGCACTTTCCACATTCATAACATTCATAGGCTTTTTCTCCTGTATGTGTTCGCTGGTGTCTGTTAAGGGCTGAATTCTGGCAGAAGGTCTTCCCACACTCACTACATTCATAGGGCTTCTCTCCTGAATGAATTCTATGATGTATAGTGAGGTATGACATCTGAGAGAAGAACTTTCCGCATATGTAACATTCATACGGTTTCTCCCCTCTGTGAATTCTCCGGTGCCTACAAAGGGCTGAATTCTGGTAGAAGGTTTTCCCACACTCACTACACTCATAGGGCTTCACCCCTGAATGAGTTCTATGATGCACCGTGAGGTATGACAGCTGTGAGAATAGTTTCCCGCACTCACTACACTCATACGGTTTCTCTCCCGTGTGGACTCGCTGATGTCTCATGAGGGCTGAGTTCAGATAGAAGGTCTTCCCACATTCTGTACACTCGTAGGGCTTCTCTCCTGAGTGGGTTCTGTAATGCACAGTGAGGTATGACAACCGAGAGAAGAACTTCCCACACTCGTTACACTCGTAGGGCTTCTCTCCTGTGTGCGTCCTCATGTGGGTTGTGAGCGTTGACTTTCGGCAGAAGCATTTCCCACACTCGCTGCACTTGTAGAGTTTGACACCTGTGTGGATTTTCTGGTGATCATTAAGGGCTGACTTCTGAGAGAAAGTCTTCCCACAGTCGTGACAAACATAGGGCCTTTCTCCTGAATGTGTTCTCTGGTGCTGAGTGAGGTGTGTCTTCTGGCAAAAGGACTTCCCACAGTAGTTACATTCATAGGGCTTTTCTCCTGAGTGAGTCCTCTGGTGCTGGATGAGGTGTAACTTCTGGTAGAAGTTTTTCCCACACTCATTACATTCATAGGGCTTCTCCCCTGTGTGGGTCCTCTGATGCACAGTGAGGGTTCCCTTCTGGCAGAAGGATTTCCCACACTGATTACACTTGAAAGGTTTCTCTCCAGTGTGAGTCCTCTGATGTATAATGAATTTTGACTTTTTACAGAAGGACTTCCCACATTCACGGCACTCATAGGGTTTCATCTCCATGTGAGAACTCGGGTGGCCACTGAGGTCTGACATCTGGAGAAAAGCTATTTCAGATTCATTCCAATTGTAGGGCTTCTCCTCCATGGGATTAACAAAAACTGTGTTTTTCGGGAAGGATTTCTGGCACTCAATATATTCAAAGGGCTTCTCCAAAATATGAATTTTCTGATAAATATTTTCTTCACTTAGAGTGTAATCATCTTCAATCTGACTAAATTCATAAGAATCATCTCCTGGCTGTGTTTTCTCAGGCTTAATGTGCAGGAGCGATTTCCCACATCCAGCACATATATTGGGCTTCATTTTTGCATAGCTTCCATCACTACTAATGAATTCAGAGACGCAAGTCAAGCTCTTCTCACAGGAGTCACATGTAGGTATGACTTTTCTTGAAGGAACAAGTGTTGTTTCTATGGTAATGGCTTTACCAGTAACATCACCTGTCTTTTCAACCATGCTTTTGTAGCTGAACATAGCTGACCTCGATTGCTTCTTTTCATCTCCCCGGACTTTCTCCATCAGGTCATTCGCTTGCCAGATTTCATCTAAGGAAAGGCAAAATGAACCCATGTTTGTACATTTTCCTACATAAGACATGGTCTGACATTGATACACAGCCTCTCATTTTGAGTCTAGCTTCACAGTCCTGTCTAGAACTCACCCTGTTTATTCTTTTGGAGTAACATAGGAAGATCTCCCCCGGTGGGGAAGGAAAGAAAACTCATGAAATAGCATCTATGATCTGGGTTACTTTGTAATATTTTGTTCACAGATCCAGAGCAATGACTGGTAAAAAAGGGATGTTGGATGAAAGGAATTACAGCAAAGAGGGTGAGCCTTCAGGACAGTTAGGAGCACCATTGCACAACAAAGACAGCAAGATATACGGAAACAAGGACTAGGTTTGGTGACCAACAGGCACTTTTCTCCCCTCCCTTCACATTGGAGAGATGTTAGGATCTAAGGCATGTCTGAGGACACTGACATACCTGTGCCACTTTGTAACTTTCCATACTATTTTGGTTTTTGCATTCCACACAGTAGCTTCACCCAAGTTTTGTTTGTTTGTTTGTTTGTTTTTTGAAACATAGTTTCTCTGTATAGCCCTGGCTGTCATGAAACTCGCTTTTTATACCCAGCTGGCCTCAAACTCACAGAGAACCGCCTCCCTCTGCCTCCCAAGAGCTGGAATTAAAGGTGAGCATTACATAAGTTTTACACCTAAATTTTCCTTATGCTTAGATCCTGGACCCAGGTCTTCCCTCTAAGCTTCACTTGGAAGGCAAGTTCCGGAATACCTATGTGAAACAGGAAATATCAAACAGCACAGCACAGAAAAAGATGTCTCCCCTAAAAGCTTTGATTTCTTTTTTCTTTTTTAGAGGATCCTACCAATGCAGAGATTTAAGACCATACTCATTCTGACCATGAAATGTACTACTGTTTCTAGCTGGATCCACACTGTATGAACAGATGTACTTATCCAGGGAGAGCTATTTAACAGCCTCTATAGTCATTGTCCCCCCATATCAGCAGGAAATGATGGGCTTTACCTCACAGGATTGTTGAAGGATTATAGGAGTCAAAGTGCTCAGAACAGCATGTGGCACAAAACACATATTCAAGATTACCTGAGCAATTAGTTTTCCCACTTTCAATCTACCAGTAATGGTAATGTCTTTAGTCCTGCGTTAGCTTGAATGAGATGTCCCCCATAAGTCTTGAGCATTTAAACACTTGGTCCCCAGTTGGTAGCTGTTTGGGGAGCATTAGGAGGTGTGGCCTTCCTGAAGGAAGTGTGTCACTAGGAGAAGCTTTCAGGTTTCGAAAGACTCTTGCCATTTTGAGTTCTCTTTCTGCTTGCTATCTGTGGACTGAGATGTGAGCTCTCTGTTGCTGCTCCCACCTGCCTGCTCCATGCTCCTGCTGCAATAGTGACAGACTATTATCCTTCTGGAACCATAAACTTTCTTTTGTAAGTTTCCTCAGCCATGTGTTTTAGAATAATCTTTTTGAACATCATGAAGATGTGTCTTTGTCAAGGAACCTTCAGATTGGCTTAATAAAAGGGTAAATGGCAAACAGCTAGGCAGGTACAAGTTAGGCAGGACTTGTAGACAAAAAGAACTCAGGGATGAAGCAGGGCAGAGTTGCCAGCCACATTCAGAAAACAGGAGATTAAATGCTGGGCTGAAAAGTAGTACCACCCCATGGTAGAATGGAGGTAAGAATTATAGGTTAATTTAAGTTGTTAGCAGTAGTTGTTAAGTGGTTAGTAGCTAGTTAGTAACAAGCCTAAGCTATTGACTGAGCATTCATAATTATGTCTCTATGTGGTTACTTGGGGAGCCTGTGGTCTCAGAGAAAACTCCACCTACAGTGGTATTTTATCACAGCAACAGAAAAGAACTACTACATCCATTCCTACACAACTTGCTGCAGCTCCCTAATTCTGAATGTGAGTTTCATTTAGTGTGCAAACCTTGAGAGCAAGTTCTTCAGCATGCTCTTCTGATGGGAGATGTCATTCTGTATATATTTCTCATACTGGTTAATGAATAAAGCACTGTTGGCCAATAGGAAAGGAAGATAGGAGGAACTAGGAGACAAGGAGGAAATAGGAAGTAGGGGTCAAGATGGAGAATCTGGAGAGAACAGAACCACTAGCCACCTCTCGCTGGTAAGAACACGTGGAAATACATAGAAATGGGTTAATAATTAAGACAGAGCTAGCCGATAAGAAACAAGTACCAGGCCAATAACATTATATCTAATACAGAGTCTCTGTGTGTTATTTGGGGCTGGCGCGGCGGCGGGACAAGACCAGGCGGCGGGCGGAAAAACCGTACTCCTTACACTCTTCCAATGGTGATTTTTGTTTTCACTTATCTTAGAAATTATAGGATAGACCTATTTCACTTGATGTCATGCATATCAAGTCATACATTATAAATATTACTCTTCTTACAGCCTCCCACAATCCACCAGTGTCAAAATTCAACTGGACCACCAGGACTCAATAATGACTCAAAGCCAGGATGAGTCATAACTGAAAAGATTCTGTCCCAGGAAAAACAAGCTATTAATTGAATAAGATGGACGTGCAATACACAGATCACAGTGCCTCGGCCTTATGCTAGGATTTCTGCATATCCAACAAACTCTTGGCACATCGGCTTGATGTCTTGCCTACTTTTACTGCAGAGAGACGGGTGATACTGGAGTAATAATTAAGAGTCGGGAGGGAAAAAACTCTCAGGGGTGGAAACTTGAGCTTACTACCTGGGGAAGCACAGCCCATCCTAACAAAATGTAAAGCTGCAGAGATGAACAATACATGATGAGAAAATGCTAAGATGATGGACCAAATGTGGTTAGTGAAGATTCAGGAAACTCTTACAGGCAGTACAGAGCCTCTACGGTGTTAAGCCTCGGGAGACGAGGAACTTGAATAGGTTTACGTTGTAAAGGATCAACTGGATACTTCAGATGAAAAGTCCTTCCAAGCCAATCAGGAATAACAGCAGCCCAGACACGTTTCTTGCTTACATTAAAGCTATATAGAAGGGAAATGAAACACTACCTAAAGGAAAAGCCCCACTCACTCTGGAGATCTGTATTACCTGACAGGTATATACTCTTAGAGACTCTATGAGGGCCAAGGTGGGAAATGAAAGGAGTGTAACTAAGAAATTAGGAGAGAGAAGAAAAGTGCTCAGCCACCATAAGCTGCAAGAATTCATGATCAATTTTCACATACAGCAAGAATGAGAGAAACGCACACTGTTATCAGAGAAAAAAGGGCAGGTACCATGTAGCTACAACACAGTGTGGCTGCAGAGAAATAAACAGGCAAACAAAAACCTCAGATCTGAGTGTGGAGAAGCCCTCTGAGGAATCATGAAGCCAGGGGATACAGGCAGAACAAAGTCCTTCCTAGATACTTAGGAAGATGGAAAGACAAATCAAATGTCATTTATGTATACAATACAATGGAACACCATTCAAGGGCCTGGGTATACAAAAGAGCCAGAATAAAGCTAAGGGGAAAACAAGTATTTCCAATGAGAGAGACCCAGGTCTGCAAGAGCTAAACATCATAGCGCTGGATTTCCAGAGAACAAGAAGACATGCTCAGAGAGGCAGAGAGAAGCCAGAGTCAAATGGTTTCAGACTGGAATTTTGTAATCTGACCTCAAAGAAAACAAAGAGGTAGGTGTTGTGGATTATTATTTTAAGAAGTGTCACATTCATTTATTCGTGGAACATTTGTCTAATGATGCAAAGATGTGTTGCATTCTTTATATGTTGTATTTGTTTAACTCTGTGAAGCTGAGCTACTTTGCCTGCCCACAACACCTGACTGGTCTAATATAAAGAGCTGAATGGCCAATAGGTAGGCAGAAGAGAGAAACAGGCAGGGCTGCCAGGCAGAGAATAAACCGAAGAGAGGAGGATTGAGAAAAAAGAAGGACAAAGGACAACAGGGGCCAGCCATCCGGCAACACAGCCAGCCATGGAGTAAGAAGGAAAGAAAGGAATATAGAATAGAAAAAGGTAAAAGCCCAGAGGCAAAGGGTAGATGAGATAACTGGCTAGCGACTCCGGCCTTTCTCTTTCTCTTCCGGTCCCAGGCGCTTCGGGAGCCGCCGGATACTGTTCAGACATGGCCAAGTCCAAGAACGACACTACACACAACCAGTCCCGGAAATGGCATCAAGAAACCCCGATCGCAAAGATACAAATCTCTTAAGGGGGTTGACCCCAAGTTCCTGAGGAACATGCGCTTTGCCAAGAAACACAACAAGAAAAGCCTGAAGAAGATGCAGGCAAACAACGCGAAGGCAATGAGTGCATGCGCAGAGGCCATCAAGGCTCTTGTGAAGCCCAAGGTGGTAAAACCCAAGATGCCAAAGGGTCCCGGCTGCAAACTCAGCCGTCTTGCTTTCATCGCTAACCCCAAGCTTGAAAAGAAAATTAGAAGCTATATGGCCAAGGGTCGTAGGCTCTGTCAACCAAAGCCCAAGGTTTTAAACCAAGGCAGAGGCCTCGGCTCCAGCTAAGACCCAGGCTGCAGTTCCAGCACAGGCTCCCAAAGGTGCCAAGGCCCCATAGAAAAGTTTTCTGCCACTGTGAAGACAGATGGACTGGTGTGACACATCTACACACTCTGCAGTTGACCCTATGCTGTTTTTACAAATAAACTTGAGGCAAGATCTGTTAAAAAAAAAAAAAAGAAAAGAAAAGAAAGACAGAAAGAAAGGAAAGAAAAGCTGGCTAGCAACAAGCCATGCTAAGACTAGGCAACTAGGCATTCATAAGTAAGAACAGTCTCAGTGTATTTATTTGGGAGCTGGATAGTGGGCCCCCAAAGAACAAAGAGTAAACACACACACACACACACACACACACACACACACACACAAATAAAAAACAAAACAAAGCAAAACAAAAAAAAAACAACTACAGGTGGCTCCCTGGGGAAAGAAGCTTTCTGAAAAAACCTAGCAACCTAAGTTAAATCTCTAAATCTCACATGAAGATAGAAAGGATCACTATACAAAGTTGCCCAGTGACCTCAGGTGCATGAGTTAAAGAGCCTGGACAGATGGCTTATCAGTTAAGAACAATTGGTTGCTCTTCCAGAGGACCTGGATTTGATTTCTAACACCCAGATAGCTACTCACAGCCACCTGTAACTCCTCTTTTGTCCTCCACAGATACTTCATGCATACAGTGCACAGATACACACATAGGCAAAACATACATTTAAGATAAAAATAAAGGTTTTTAAAAAGCCTGTGATAGCTAATATTGTCAATCACTAGGAGTCAGGCCTCCAGGCACCTGGTGGGGTCATCCCAATGAGGTTCCTTGACGGGAAAGAACCACTCACTATTTGGAGTACCAGTCCCTGGGCTACGATTCTGGACTGAATAAAAATGACAAAGCGAGCTGCGCACCAGCAAGCATCACTCCCTGCTTCCTGACTGCCATGCAGTGAACACAGTGTGAGCAGCTGCCTCAAAGTCCTGTTGCCGTGCCTTCTGAGCTGCGATGGGCTGTACATACCCTGGAGCTGGGAGCCAAAATAAACCCCTTCTTCCTCAAGTTCGTTTTGTGAGGATTTTGTCACAGCCCCAGGAAAGTGACTAATACAGAGCCCAAAGCATTTTAGTAAGAGAGAATGAAGACAAAACCAAGGCTTAACGACCTAAGAGCTGAAGAAGGTCGTTCACTGACAATACACTATGAACACCTAGTAAAAGGATAGTGGATATGGGTGACTCAACATGGAAGTCACAAGGTTTAGAGAAAAAAAGGAACTGATTTCATCTGTGGAGTCCTAGCTGTCCTGGAGCTCACTGTTGACCATGCTGGCCTAGAACTCACAAAAATATACCTGCATCTGCTTTCCAAGTGTTGGGGTTAAAGACGAGCACCCCTCACAGCCAGCTAGGAAACTTTGATTCTGGACAGTGGTCGCCAGGGAGACATTATAACCATGTTTTCATGGGGAAGGAAGAAAGCTTTAGGAGTGACTAAACTACCTTCGTAACTTCTAAAGCTTGGGGTGATCAGAATGTTCCCAGGAGGAACTCCCCAGTTACCATCTCCTCTTGGCCTCTCTGCCTCTACTACACACCTGGATAGCTCTGAGGTGAGAATGCTCCTTCTACTATCCATGGCTCTTCTCCTTGTTCCAACTTGATGATAACATCCGGTTTGATAATATGATACCCTGTTAATGAGAAATGAAAAGCAACTTGAGCCTGCAGCATGGCTTCAGGGTTTCTATCGTGTGGGGCAGGTACCACTGTACCAGCTGTATAGCACAAGAGCCCTAGTGCTTTATTTTCACAGAGAGGTCAAGCAGAACAAACCACTCACAACCCATCCCACAGAATTCAAAAGTAAAGCCAGCTACGCTTTAATGACTTTAAAGGCATCCCCACATCTGAGCAGCTGAGAAGGCAACTGGTCCTCACCCACGGAGATGAGGTTGCTGTAGTTCTCCAGCATCACATCCCTGTATGTTATCTTCTCCTCAGAGCCCAGCTGCAGCCACTCCTCCTGGGTGAAGGCCACAGCCACATCCTTGAATGACAGTGGGTCCTGCAACAACATGCTCAGAACATGCTCACAAGGAACAGGCAACTGAAGACAAGCTCTTGCCAAGCCCGCTGGTGTTGTTAACCACAAACACTGTATATATTTTTTATATTACAGACTGTGAAAGGAAAGTATGCTAGAGAAATGGCTCAGTGGTTAAAGAAATTGCAGTACATGTGTTAGTAACAGAGTTAGGGTTTCTAGAAACCCATGTAAAGGCCAGGTGAGCATGGCAGCCTCTCCATAGTTCCAATCTTGGAAGACAAGGCTCTCCAGAGGAAGCTGGCTGGCAAGTCTAGTCACACCAGAGAGCTTTGGATTTGACTAATAGATCCTTCCTCAATGAATGGAAATACAAGGGAGAATGCCTGTTCCCAGCATCAACCCTGGGCCTCCACATTCACTCACACACAAGCAAAACTGTGCATATACAGATACACATAATACCCACGCATGCAAAATAGACAGAAAAAATGCCAATTGCCTTGAGATTTATTCACATTGAACCGAAAGCCAAGAACAATGCTGGCTGTTGGGGACACAAATAACATCAGAAACATTTCCCACCACTAAGGAGCTCAGACCTGAGGGACACTCATGCAATCCTAGGTGCACCCTACTCTTTGGAACACTCTCCATCTTGTCTCCAGTACATGAACAGCATTGCCCCCCCACTCCCCACCATTTACTTCTGACTCTTCCTCATGTCTGTAGTGAGATATCTGCCACACCTGCACCTGTTACACTGACCACACCCATTGAGGTGTGGGGACAGGTGCGAGTGTGACCTGGGGGGACTAGATCTGGGTTCCCAGACCCCAGTTCGCTCTCTTACTTCCAGATCAGAGACAGAGAGCATCTAGAGGCATCCTTGAGATTGGAACCTAGAGCAGTCATCTGTTTCTGGTGTGATTCCTCCCTGAATAAACATCCATCAGCCTATTGTTTCCCAGATTCTTATTTACCACACTTTATATGTCCTCTGCTAGTTCTTCTCTCCTCCAGGTTCCCAGAGGACTGAGTACTTTGATGGAGAGCCTGCCTGAATTGATGGATAATTTAACTGCCCTCCATGTACAAACATTTCCCAAATTATCACCACCAGTCCACGTCTCTCACCTACACTCTAGATGTCTAGATTCTTTAACATAGCATTCTCTACTGCAGAGTCTCTCAATCAATCCCAGAACTTAGTGACATGGCTAGTCTTCCTGGGATCCCCTAGTTATTACAGGCAGGCTGTCATACCCACATGGCATTTGTATGGTTTCTGGAAAGCTGAACTCCCGTCCACAAGCTGTGGGACAAGCACTTTAACCACAGAGCCATGTCCTCAGCTCCTCAAACGTCCTATCAGTGTTTAACTTTTGATTAAACTGTTTCATTCACAAACACATCAGCACCACAACTGCCTCCTGCCACGGCATCACCTCTACCCGTGAACATCAGTGGGTACCATGGACTCAATGGGAACACTGTGAACATCAGTGGGTACCATGGACTCTATGGAAACACTGTGAACATCAGTGGGTACCATGGACTCTATGGGAACACAGTGAACATTAGTGGGTACCATGGACTCTATGGGAGCACAATGAACATCAGTGGGTACCATGAACTCTGTGGGAGCACAGTGAACATCAGTGGGTACCATGAACTCTATGGGAACACTGTGAACATCAGTGGGTACCATAGACTCTATGGGAGCTCTGTGAACATCAGTGGGTACCACAGACTCTATGTGAGCTCTGTGAACATCAGTGGGTACCATGGACTCTATGGGAGCACTGTGAACATCAATGGGTAGCATGGACTCTACGGGAGCTCTCAACATAGTCAAGTAGATTCCAGTGGCATCTAACTGACCGTATATTATTACAGATATACACCAACCATATGACAAAGATGTTTCAAGCCAGTGACCTGTAAGCCAGTTTTCAGGAGAGGAAGAAAGATGTGAAATCATTGGAAATGACAGATCATCTTATAAATAAAAACATCCTTTGACCTCCACACACCCAACATGGATGTGTACACACCCACAAAGTAATTTTAAAAAAGCAGCAACAAAAATACCACCAACCCAAACAAGACCACAGGTCTATGGCTCAGTAAATCTGAGCTGATGGAATCTGTCTTAGAGCAGTAGACCCTTTCTTGTAGTAAAGGCACCCAGAGACCAGCTCTGAGAACACATTCAGGATAAACTCACTACTCTATTCTTGCCTCCACAGACATTCCCAATCTGTGTGTTTCTATTTGAGACTCTCCCTCTAAGGGAGTTCCTGGGAACCTAAGGAGCTCCTGGGAAGGAATACTCTGTTCTTTGGAAAATGCCAGTATCTAGGAGAGTACATGGGCATTTGCGAGTGAGTAAATGACTCCTAATTAGTAAGTCACTCTAGCCAAGCGGAAGAATGGCTGAAAAAGTCCAGTGGGTCTGTCACCTCATTTCTTGAGACACTGAAAGGTTATCACCAGGGCCAAGGATGGTGGCAAATGCCTTTATGCCTTTAGGTCTCGGCTGAAGAGGGAAGATCAAGCGCTCAGGGACACCCTGAACTATGCACCAAGACCCTTTTCAAACCAACCAATGATACAAAAACAAAGAAAAATTACTCAGACTGCAAGAGAAAACTAAATGTAGGTTGGACAATGGAACAATGAAAGGAAAAGAAAGGAGAAGGCCCAATGATGGGCTGAAAAGACTGATTTATTTGGCTGCAATAGCCTGTTGGTTGTTGCAGGGACATGATCCACAGAGATGCTCAGCAGGCAGCTGGCTGGTCCACAAGTGAACCACTGGCTAATGCCAAGAGAGCAAGATTAGAGCAGGGCTAAGAAGAGCAACGGGAAGGTAGAAGAAATTCTAAGTTCAGGAAGAGGGCAGCAAGGCAGAAACTGACAGAGGAGACTAGAGACAGGATGGGTCAATAGGGTGTGTGTGTGTGTGTGTGTGTGTGTTAGAATACTATAGAGGCTAAAAAGGCCTTGTGCACACATATAAGCACTGGAGAAAACAGGAAAGTTAAGCACACAGCTCACCTATTCAATGGAATGAGGTGCAAAGCTACTCTTCCTGGAATGCTAGAAATGATGTAGTTTTACACCTGGTGACCCTTTACTGTCTGATGAGGCAGGCTCTGCCGGTGTCTCCCAGAATTTACAGGGGAAGAGCTTTCCCCTGTATCTTGAGCACTGATTTTAAACCATAAACTCCACTCTTATGAGTAATGTCATTTGTATTGTACAACAACCTAAGTGACTTCTATGTTATCTTAGAGCCAGGCCAATCCTGACACATACAGGCATTATGTTTACCTCAGTCAGGCGCCCTAGACCCTAAACCTTGGGCACTATCTCTGAGGCAATAGTACCCATTCTTGTGAAAGAAGCCAAATGTACCTTATAGGGAATCTCAATGTAAACATGTCCTAAACTGTTCTGCACTTGGGACTGAGTTAACTGTTATTTGAATACTTTTTTCAAAAATTGTGCTGAGTTTAAATATAGCTAAAGAAAAATGATCTGGGCCAGATTCTAGAAGTCTTAGAGTTTCATTCTTGTCTCTTCATGGACCGTTTTTTTCCCTGCTTGCTGTGAAGCCTTTAGGGGAATCACCACAGAATACCACAGAATACCAGCTGGGGCTGTATCCATCATGGAGAATAAGCCATGGCAACATGAGCTGGAAGGAGCTAGCTACATGAAATCCACACTCGGGAAACAGAGATGGAGAAAGACGTGCTAGAATTCAAGTCATCTCCATTTTATGCAGCCCAGGATGCCCAGGGAATGTTCTTGCCCACAATAAAAAGAGTTTTAGTACGTCAATGACTGTAGCCTGGTACCCACCCCCTGCATTCCCAGAGGCCCATCTACCTCAGGTCTCTAAATCCTCTTAATCAGGTCAAGGTGACAGCCACACCTTCGTAAGAACACTTTAAGGACCATGCTACCTATAGATATGAGCACACACACACACACAAAAAAAATTCCAAACCCCTCTGACTATTGCTCACTACTGTCTGACTCTTTTACCTATTTCTATTTTATCTATTTCCCCCTTTTTAAAGTTTGAACTCTTTTTTGCCTCTTTGAATGCACTGGACCAAATGAGACAATAGAGATGTGAACAGAAACAAAACAAAACTTACCGAGGATGTATTCATCTTCTGCTGCTGAAGGAAAAGTCTGGAGAAGTACTACAGCCGGGTCTAGGGAAGGAAAAACAAAGCCATTGCGAGGGGTATGGCAAGGGGGAATAGCCTATACAAAAACCTACCAGAATATTCCAAGAAGGAAACATTATGGATGATGGTCTCATTGACTTTCAAAAAGGGTTGGAGAACTGTAACCATGCATGAGGAATGAATGAGTGCCACTGTAAGGTGAACTAACATGAAACGTTAGTTAAATAATTTCATTGTTTAATAGAGGTACAAAAGAATACTCAGCCAGGCATAGTGGTGCATCCCTTTAATCCCAGCATTTGGATGGCTGAAGCAGGCAGATCTCTGTGAGTTGGAGGTCAGCCTGATCTATAGTGCCAGGACAGGTTCCAAAGCTACACAGAGAACCCCTGTCTTGAATCCCCTTTCTCCCCCCCCCAAAAAAAAAAGAATACTCACAGGTAGGGGCTGTATTTATCTAAATTAAGTGATATTGTGACTTCTATTTTAATACTGCAAAAGGAACGCTCACATGGGACTTATCACTCCTAAAAAAAAAAATCCTCAGCATAACCTCGGTTAAGTCCAACCACAGCAGACCCACAGTCTTCCCTCAAGAACAGAGGCAAAAACAAACTTTCCTGAACTAGGCTATATGATACTGCAGGGACCGAGCAGACAGAGCATGCGTGCCCATGAGCGCCAAGAGTGACACCGTGAGAACCTAAAGCAAAGACAGAAGGGGTGTTGAGTAAGGCAGGAGTGTGGACAGCACCTCCGCAGCTCAGGCGGCTAGCCTCTCCTATGCCCTCACGCCTCGTCCTCGGACAATCAATGCTGCCCAAAGTAGTGCAGCCACCCTGCCATCAGCCCGACCACTGCGACCATCCCGGATCCGCAAGCGGAGGACAGAAGAGAGCCAGGCTTCGTGCAGGCGCTGATCACTCAGCCGCCTCCCCCACTCCCGACCCCCGCAAGCAATCAGCCAGACCCAGCCTTCCTCCCAAGTCCGGGATCTGCATTCTCAGGCCTCACCTTGGAGGCCACGTCGGACCCGGGTCTTGTCGCCCCTGTGAGCCCGGCCCTAGGCCTCCCCGGCCTGCACAGCCATGTGCGTCCGCTGCGGACCCGGACGCTCCGACCTCGGCCCCGCAGGGTCCGTGACTGCAGCTCGCGCAAGCCAAAGCTGCGGGAGCGAGTGCAGAAACACAGACCGCAGGAAGCCAGGGCGGCCCAGCGGTCGTGCGCATGCGCGAGCTCGCACGCAGGCCAAGTCGCGCACGCGCGGCAGCGCCCCCCCCCCCCCGGGCCTGGTCCCAGTGAGGCATAGGGTGTACTGCCAGAAGTCTAGGAGCCCCCTGTCCCTAGGGGCCGTCGTACAAGTCTCTTCTTCGTCTCAGCGAGCGAGAGCTTCTATAACTCGGGCCCTGAGATCACTATCGTGTTCGTTCTCACCGTCTTTGAGCCTCCAGAATTGGCCCGAGGGGTTATATCAACCAGGCACCACACCCTCTTCTGGCCTGGGGCTTTTTGGTAAACGGCGCATTCTGACAGACTGTACCTGTGCCATGCTCTCCCAGGGCCGTCCTGATGTCACCTGGTAACTGAGGTGTCCATCTGAGCTGGTCCTTATCCCAAGAACCAAAAGCTCTCATATCCCTGTGACAAAGAGGAAGGGCCTGGATTAAGCTCCCCAGGTGACCGGGAAAATAGGAATGCTCTCTTTCCCGAGGTTTACATTTCAGAGGGGACTCCGGTCTTTCAGAAAAGAAACTCCTTGCTTGCAACGAGGACATTTCAAGTCTATATAATTTTTGTTGTTGTTTTGTTTTTGGTTTACAAGGCAGAGTTTCTCTGTGTAGCCCTGGCTGTCATGGAACTGGCCTTGAACTCACAGAGATCTACCTGCCTCTGTCTCTGCTGAGATTAAAGGCATGCACCACAACTGCTGAACTAATATAATTTTTGTATTAAGATTTCAATGTGTACAGACAGAACAAGGGTCAGCAGTCAGCAGGCTGAGATCCTTCTATTCTGCTCAGATAGGAATTGAGGCAATGAGAAGCTCAATCCATGCAGGCATACCATACTCTACTGACTGGACTAGCAGGCCTAGAAGCTTTGGCTCCAGGTCCTGACCTAGAGGCCTGTTAGGTCCGGCTTTAGAAACTAGAGACTTAATGCCCTGACCTTTCACCCACTGATGGCCCTAGCACTTGGCAGCTGTTGTAGCATGTGGCCTCCAGGAACAGCAACAGAAGCAACTGTGCCAGCTAATGCTGACCCTAAATAGACTCAGGTGTTATGACTCTCAGTATGTCAGCCGCAAACGTCACAGTTATTGGGTCCCAGGTATTCCCTGCTGAGAGCTCACTGTGTATTGTCTGTAGCTCTTCATTGCCCTCTGCCCTCTTCATTCTCAACTCTCCCACACTCTCTCATTTGCTGTCTCCACTCTTCTCCTTCCTTGCAATCGGTGCTTGTTTTTCATTGCCATTTTTTTTTTTTTGATCGTCTCATCAGTGTCTCACCAGCTGAGCCCACTGAGCTGATGAGAAGGGTCAAAAGTAGGCAAAGAGCCCTGGAGAGAAGCCTTTCCCAGAGCCTGATATTGCAGCATGGGTTAAAACAGCTGCTTTGATTCACCAAGGCTTGTGATTGCAAAAGGATTGTTAGAAACCTGTGTGTGACAGTGCCTTTGGAGCAGATGAACAAGAGGAATGTGAGTCTGAGGCCAGTTTGGGCAACATAGTGAAATCCTGGAAGGAGGGGAGGAGGGAGAGGACGGAGGGAGAAAGGGAGAAAGGGAAGGAGACAGAAGCTGTCAGAGACACTGGTGCCCAGGATAGCAGCGTTGGAAATGGAAATGCATTTCAACAGCGAGTATCTGTGAATGCTGGGCAGCTTCATTAAGGTGGCTGTGCAGTGTTCAGAGAAGCTGAGTTTCTAAGGTGTCCCGGCAGTTCACCAAAATAATTGACTAGTAGTCTTCTGCTTGGCACACCCAGAAAGAGACAAGCAGCTATCAATTAGGGAAGCAAATACTTAGCTTATTTAAAGGGAAATAAACATTAAGAAGGGTGCTTCTAATAAAGGGTTATTGTTAACATTAACAGTCATTCAATACTGTTTAATAGTGTTCTATACCTAGTTAAATACCCTTGGGAGAGTTGATCATTCTGTTTGCTCCAAAAGTATTTTGTGTGTATCTGTGTGTCTCTCTGTGTATCTATGTGTCTGCATTTGTGTCTGTCTGTGTGTTTTAGTGTTTTAGTATGTGTTTTTGTGAGCATGTGCATGATCCAAGGTCTTCATATTGAACTTGGAGCTCACCAATTTGGTTAAGAGAGTTGGCTAGTGAATTCTAGGGACCTGCCTGCCTCTGCCTCTCAGCACTAGGCACTCACTGCACCCAACTCTTACATGGGTGCTGGGGATCCAAACTCAGATCCTGAAGCTTGTTCTGCCATCACTTTGCCAGTAGACTAAGCCATTTCTCCAGCTCCCTGTTTCACAGGTGTCTCTATTGTGAATTTTCTCACAGAAATATTCTAATAAAATGGGAAGATGATCTGGTGAGGTGGTTCAGCTGGTAGAAATACTTGCAGAGGAAGCCTGGCAACCTTACATAGATCCATAGAACCTATGTAAATGTGAATGGAGAAAACCAACCCCACAAATAGGTCTTTTGACCCACAACTACACACTATGGCGAGTGCATGCCATAACATTCACAGACACACAAATAGTATTTCTAATAAATAATTTGAAGATGTACTCACAAGACTACATAAATATTCAATATCTGCTACTCCAATGAACGTGTGTGTGTGTGTGTGTGTGTGTGTGTGTGTGTGTGTGTGTGTGTAGTGGAGATTGAACCTAGAGTTTTGCACATGCAAGGCAAGCACTTGACCACTAAGCTACATCTAGCCCTTTCTTATTTTCTTTCTGTTTTGAGGTGGCTCACTAAGTAAGTGACCCAAGCTGGCATGGACCCACTCTGGAGTCCAGGCATGCCTCAAACCTGCAATGGCAGTCCTACACTAGCACATCCAACTTCTTAAGGAGCTTTTTAACAAACAAATGACAAGGAGCAGAACTGGAGAGGTAGCTCAGCAGTTAAGGGCAGCCACTGTTCTTCCTTAGGCTCTTCCAGAGGACCTGCATCAGGCTGCAAGGGCCAATGTCTGTCAGATTACCTCACCTGTGATTCCGGCTCAGGGTATCTGATGCCTGTGGCCTCTAACAGCACACACACACACACACACACACACACACACTGGCCACATAATTTTTTTAATCTTCAAAAAATTACCAGGGAGGGCCAGCTAGATGCCATGTGAGCCTGAAAACTTGACTTCAGTCCCAGAACCCACAGTGGAAGACTAGAACTAACTCCCAAAAGTTGTCCTCTGACCTCCTATGTGTGTACACACTCACATGAAACAAACAACAATAATAAATCAAGTTTAAAATTAAACTACCATGGAAACCAATACAAGCAAACACATGGTCTTAAAGACAGGGAAAATGCAAATATCACATACTCCAGCAGGTTTTCTTCAATCAGTGTCTCTGTGTGTTAGACGACCACTTAAGAAATTATTCTATAATTATACTTCCTATCCATCTAAAAACTCATAGTTCTAGGCTATGGGTAGGGAATGCTTGCTGTCTGTCAACCTCTTCAGTTCAGCGCTGCCTGTCAGTCACCACTACCAACTTGGGTGATACAATGGTGAATCTTTTTTTTTTTTTTCTTTTCTTTCTTTTTATTTATTTATTTATTTATTTATTTTGGATAGGGTTTCTCTTTGTAGCCCTGGCTATCCTGGAACTCTCTGTAGACTATAGACCAGGCTAGCCTGGACTCAGAGATCCATCTGCCTTTGCCTCCTGAGTACCAGATTAAGGGCCTGCTCCACCATTGCCCAGCTAAAAATATTAAGTATACTTTGTATCATTAACAAGTGGAGAATGCTCCTCATAGTGAATCTAAATTGTCAACTTGACTAGATTTAGAGACACCTGAAAGACTGTCTTAGTTTCTTTTTATGTCGCTTCAATGAAATACCCCAACTAGAACTACTTAAGGGAGAATGGGCTTCATTTGGCTCCCAGTGCAAAGGTGGTCGGTCATGGTAGGGAAGCCAGACAGGAGCTCCTATCAAATCTACAAACAGAAAGCAAAGGGGATGAGGAATCACTAAATTAAACTTTGCTTTCTTCACTTGTAATCTCACCCCAGGGAAATGGTGC